TTGATTAATTTTACAGAAGTGTCTCCTGTTGTCAAGTTTCCTGTAAATTTAGCTCGTCAAATCTATGATGTTATTTTTTCAACAATAAATAATGAAGATGAAGAGGACGATGGTGACATTGCTATGAAATTACAGTGTGAAGAAGGTTACTACATCTGGTTTTACCATCAATTACTTTATTTCTGAAAGCATTATTTTGTTTCAGTATTATTTGATTAATTCATCGACTGAAAGAAAATGTTGTTCTGCTCTAAAATTGTTTCAGATGAACGGATGGCACGCCAACTCTATGAAGAAATGCTAAGGAACACAGGACGTGCACTGGATTCAACTCCACCGCAATTGCGAGAAATAATGGACATGGAACTAGCCCAAGCTATTTATAAAGCAGATGTTGTAAGTTAGACTTTTTTGTGCCCCTTTATTTATTCATATTTTATAATGCATTAAACTTCACCTCATGTGTTGGCTTTTAGGATTCTCTCACTCAGAGTTCTCCAGATACAATTGCAAATGTTCTTGCAAAGCGTCTTTTGGAGGAAAACTATAGTCATATTGACAAAAAAACTTTACATGACATTTTTGTCTCCTGCAATTGTTCTTTTGAAGATACTGTAAAAACTCTCCAAGAAGCTTTACCAGCTGATGATGTTGAAAATAAGCGTAGAGTTGTAGCCCAACAAGCTGCAGTCCAAGTTAGTAGCTACTGACAAAACTGTATGTTATGAGTTTTCGTCACATTATTATACCAACTATTGTGATTGCAGGATAAATATCAAACTCGTGACAATGCCCAATCTCAAGAATTTTCTGAAGTAAGTAAAATTTCTTGTCTGTGTCTATTTTGTATTCTTCAAAATGTTAATTTTAATCTTAAATTTTCAGAGACATGAAAGTATAGAAAATTCTATTGGAATAGAAAATCCATGGGATTTGTCTGATCCTAAGGATGCATACAATAAATACAGAGGAAAAGCAGATGAATTTCTTAAAGAACGCGATGAAATGTATCGCAGAGCAAATGATGCTTTCAGGAGGAAAGAAAGATCTGTAGCAGCTTACTATTCAAAACTGGTATGTGTTGAAGTCTTCTCCACAAGTTTCATAATTTTACAGGCAAATTAAAATTTTCTCACTCCAGGATAGAAATACAAATGAACTACAGTAAAACTTTGGTTGTTATTTTTTTAGGGTGAAGTGCATGGAAAAAAGTTCCACCATGCTAGTGCAATGGCTGCTGCAGCTCTTGCTGCAGCTCACACCAATTTACATTCCAGTGATACTCTGGATTTGCACCATTTCAAAGTTGTAGAGGCTGTTACTGTCTTTGATCTATTCATGGATTACCACATAAGAATATTACCAGAAAATGGGCTTCAACAACAAAGTCTTGACATCATTACTGGCCGTGGCACACACAGCGTAAATGGCAAGCCGCGTATTAAGCCAGCTATTATGAACCGCGCCAAAAAGCGTAATTTAAGGTATTTTTCTGTCGTTATTTAACTGATTGTACCCACCAAGTTTTTATTTTTTTGAATAGGCTTGTTAATTACACGTTATCTATCAATTTCAGATGTCAGCAAGTCTCAGGTAACCCAGGTGTACTCAAGATTTGGGTTACATCTAACTCTTACCTCTCGCACGAAGTACCTGAGTGAAAGATATACAATGCACAAAAGCATGCAGCAGTGTTAAATTGAGTAATAATTAATTGGTTTACTTTACCAAACCATTTGATTATTAGCTCATTGATTTTTGTTGTTCTAAAATTTCTTTGCTTTCTACTTGCTTTGGAAATTAATTGTGCTTTCTGTCTTGAGCAATGGGGATTTAAAAGGAAACTATATGTTCTATATTTTTGATAATCATCTACATTTTGTGCTTTTGTGCAACTTTGCTGTGCTGTACTGCGCTCTGAGTAACTGTTAGAAGTTTAGTTTGCTCATATATTTTATAATCAATGTATGTACTTATTAAGATTTAAATGAACTTGTTAGGATTTCTTGGTTAAATTAGTTTTTTATTAAGTTTAACCATGTTGACACTTTATTGAGTTGATTTCTTGCACTCTTGTGCATGGAATCTTTTTTTTTAAATGACCTTGTTTTTATTTGTGACATGGGACTACATGTGTTCAATTTTTACTCGTTAATTGAAAGATCAGTCCTTTCATATTGGGTATTCTCTTATTTTTCTATCCGACTCAACATCCATGGGCTTTCCAATTATTTTTTTAATCATATTTTTTTGTGTCCTTAATCTATTGGGTATTTAGTGCCTTATCTAATCAGCTGTGTTGTCAATAGTGATGATATCTGATGTTCCAATGCCACTCGCACAACATGTGATTGTTTAATCTAGTTTTCTGTTATAGATTTGTACTATTTTACAAATCTGAGTCATTGCTGGAGATAAAAGCGTATATGTATGAGATATATGAGCTTCAAATATTACTCTAAGATTTTTGCCTAGTTTGCTCAAGTATTGAGGTAAAATCTTGAAATACAAAAGAACTGCTGTGATCTTATTGTTTAAGAAGTGTTTATGGTCTTTCCCTATATGTTAAGTACTTAACGGAAACCAGTAGCCTGTTGGTTTCCTTGTTTCTGGCAGTTAGGACACACACTAAATACATCATATTGACCATCAGTAGCCTAGTCCACTTACAATGTGCATGAAGGATGTTCATGCTAGCTAATTATGGTATTCAATTTTATTGCAGCAGTTTTTTTCAAAATAGTTTTGAATTGAATCTTTTCACAGGTATACATTTATGCTTGGAATAGCATTATGTAATCTATTTTTGACAGGGTATTTTTTATTGATATGTACAAGTATCACAGTTTATCTTCTAGCTGTGCCAGTACCAATTGTTTTTTAACATACATGTTTATATTATCATGTTTTGATGGAAATATATTTCAAATGGTCACTGATCAATGGTATTCAATTTTACTAGCCCATTAAAGAAACTTGTAATCATGACATAGGCCTTTTTCTTGAAGTATAAAGTTTTATAACTGAGTGGTACACTAAAAAGCAGGCTCCCAGAACTAGAAGAATAATCACAGCTGCAAGTATTTGAACGCCCATTTCAGAGCCTGTCCACATGAATAGCCATCGTGTTGCATCATCCTCTAGCAAGTGACTGAAGTAACTAGGAGCTGCAGTTATCTAGAATAGATTTTAAAATTAAATTTTAAAGAATGATATTTAAAAACAATAGAAAACCCTTTTTTTTGTATGGGATTCTTCTTTTTCTTATACTTTTTCAATGGATGATTACTAAACTTTAGTTTAATACTCACTTTCACATCTATCCAGGCTGTTTTCCAAGTTAAATTTAGAGCTTCTTGCTTCACAGTACACTCCCAAGTGCCCTGATGACTCTTGTCAACATGTGGAAGTCGAAGAAAATCTCTTTCTGGCCATGGTAATTTAGGGAGAAGATATTCTCCCTTTTTCAGCTTCCTGCTTTGTTTCTTTGATGAGGAACCAACTTCATGACCAGTCTGTGAAGCATGTGATAAAATATTTACTAAAAGATTAAACCATCTTTCAGGAAAATATAAAGAAATCAAATAGTCAATTTAAATCCTGAATTAAGTCCTAGCAACATATGAACTGGCTCATGAAAGGAAGGGGGCCACGGCTTTCGGCTCCCTTACGCAGACCCCTCACACAACATGTCACTAAATTGAATCAAATCTCTGGGGGGATACTGTTTTAGGGGAGAACATGCATCGGGGCCCGTGCAAGAGAACCGAAAGGAAATTGAATTAATTTTAAGAAGGGAAAGAGTGCTGTAAGTTCAAGTCCTGAAACAAAGTAAAAGAGTGCATTAGTATCGGAGCAAGGCAAGAATTCAAGAATCCCCCTGAAAAAAGAAATAAAAAACAACAAAACTTGTTGGGAGAGCTGCTGGTTTGTCTCCAGGGCAACGCTTTGACTCCAAACAACGGTGCAATAAACATTCGCTCTTGAAATCAGACATGTGCAAGACAAGTATGACATCGCAGTTCTGCAACCAGAGTCAATCTGGCAGGGGATGGTCTAAGTCGGCGATGGGGTGACGCCAACCCGCTTATCCCGCCTTTTTTCCACATATTTCATGAGAGGGAAAAAATATGTTGGTGGTGAATTAAGGGGGGGGGCAGGTTTTCGTGACATGCTTAACTAAACTACCATGGCCGCCATAAGATGCATTTAGTGACCAGTACATACAGAATTATGATCGGACTAGCAAATATTACTCTAAAATGCATCTGCTGAAGGCTCAGTAAACATGGTGCATTATTTCGTCAAGCATGAGTCATGAGTATGGCCAGGTCCATAACAGGACGTTCGCCAGGTCAATGGTGGGAGCTAATACACAGCACGGTATTCCCTTCCTCGGATACGAGTCACCGATAGGGCTTATCTTGGACTCGAGTACTGCGTCGGTCTGGTCGGTCTGCTGGTGCGGATGGTCGTCGTCGCACCACCCGGGCCTCAGTATAGCGACGCGGCGCACCCACGCCCGCGCCCAACAAAGGACGCCGGAGATGAACCACCACAGCGACGACCTCGGTACCGGCCCCGGCGCCGGGCCTTTCGCGAGTCTCTCGGGCGGTCCGTTTGCCAGAGACCCGCCGCGGATCCAGGCGCAAGCGGTACCATGGCTCTTTCCTGATGACCGCACTTCCTCGCCTGCGAACGCCCTCCGGACCCAGCAGCTTGGGGCTGCGTCACCTGCGTTTGTCCCAGTCCTGGCGCCTGCCGGCGCGTCCGCACCAGCCGCCCGCGCGCATATTGCCGACGTCGTCCCGGAGGAGGAAGAGGAGGAGGAGGAAGTCCTGACTCTTATCGTGGACCAAGACTTCATGCAACAGCTCATGCTTCGGTTCGGCGGTGCTGAGCTCTCGGCTGGTGCGTGGGCGGAGACCCGGCGTGGACCCTCGTCGTACAGGCAGCTTCTTCATGGCCATACTGTGGTGCTTTTGCAGAGCCCTCCACCATCGTGAGGGTGCCCGTGTCGTTCGCGCGCCAGATCCACTACTATGCCCTCCGCACGCAGCTCCAGGAGCGCGAGGAGGCGTACGAGGCGCAGCGGCGCCGGCTCGAGGAAGGTGAGTAGGAAAGAGGGAGAGGGGGGGGGGGACGACCAAGCCAAGCAGTGATCCGGATTGCGTTTGACAGACGAAGCCATCGCCCGCCAGCTCTACCAAGAGATGGTCGAGTCCCAAAGGATCACCAACATTGGTGGTATTGCGCGCGGCGGAGGAGTGGCAGGAGTGGCGGAGGGTCCTGCCGACCCCGCCCCTCTCCCCTCTGCCCCCGCCGAGGCCCGGACGGAGGACCGCGCCGAAGCGCGGCGCCAAGTCCCACATACGGAGCGCCGTGAAGCCCTGGACTACCTCGCCAAGCTGCGGCTCGAGGACAAGTTCCCTCAAGTCGACAGGGAGATGGTGCACTTCATCTTCGCGTCTCTCGGCTCCGAGGAAGCCGCCTCCGAGGCCCTGGAGGAGCAGCTCGCGCAAAACTGGAGCCGCCCTCATCCGCCCGCTCCCAGCGCCGCCCCCAGCACTGCCCCCAGCGCTGCCCCCAGCGCTGCCCCCAGCGCTGCCCCCAGCGCTGCCCCCAGCGCTGCCCCCAGCGCTGCCCCCAGCGCTGCCCCCAGCGCTGCACCCCGCGCCACTCGTGCCAGGCCGGGCATCGCCGAGGCCCTCGAGGAGCAGCGTGCCCGGCCGAGGAGACTCGCTGAGGCGTCAGGGAGTGCCACCCCCGTGCCGACGCAGGCACCCGGGGCCTCGAGCGCGGCCGGCCCCGCTGGCGATGCGGCAGAGGACGAGAACCCGTGGGACTCGGATAGCCCGATGATGTCCTTCAGCAAGTACAGGGCCAGGGCGGAGACGTTCCGTGCGGAGCGGGACGCCTACTTCTCCAAGGCCAAGGACGCCCACCATAGGCAGCAAAAGGATGCAGCGGGGCTGTTCGCCCAAAAGGTATGCCGCCCACACCGCCTCGCCCAACCCCGCCCCGTCACACCCCGCCCCTCCACGCCCCTCCCCGCCATTCTCACGCTCACCTTCTCTTTTCAAGGGCTCGTTCAGCGAGCGCCAGTACCAGTACTACTCGGCCATGGCGGCGGCCGCTCTCGTTGCCGCGCACTGCGAACGCTCCTCCGACTCCCTGGACCTCCACTCGTTCAAAGCGAACGAGGCGGTGATCGTGCTGGACCTGTTCCTCGACCACCACATCCGGCGCCTGTCTGAGGGTCGCAGCGGCGAGGACCGGCTGACCGTGATCACGGGCAAAGGACTGCACAGCGCCGACGGCCGGCCCCGCGTTAAGCCCGCCGTGCTGGAGCGTGTCGCACAGCGCCGCCTAAGGTAGGCTACAGCCACTCTGTCCTCTAATTATCATCGCGACCAGCCCAAGCACCTCTCCGGCTCGCACCTTCTGTCCTAACGGACGAGGAACTTGTCCTTGTCAAAACTCCGCGGTGTCCTGTTCCTGGGCCCGACACCTCCTTCCTTCTCCCCTTCCTCCTCCTCAATCTCGTCCCCTCGCCCCCAGTCTTGTGTTGTTGTTGGAGTCCTTTGCTCGACGACTTGGAGGTGGTGTTCTGTAAACCAAAACTTTATTGTTTTCCCTACCTTTCTGCCTTTTGCTCTCAGGTTTGAGGAATTCCGCAACAACTCTGGAGCCATCCGGATCTTCATAACAGCAAACTCCTTCCTCGCGCATCAGGTGCCCGGGGCGAGGGGTGCCCAACCGTGGTAATCAGGTGTACACAGACTTGGTAATCACTGGTAATCCACACACTCGTGAGGGCCCTTTCAAAGGACTAATTTGTTGATTGAGACATGCATTTTTGTGCACATCTTGCCTAAATTGCAAAACGTTCATGTTTAATATGGCGAATTTGCATCTCTCACATGGAGTTACGCATCCCTCGCTCGGCGCGGTAAGAAGGAGGCGACTGTCACGGCGACTGATTCTCGCTGAAAGACGTAGCGGCAGCGCTGTCAAAATACTTTATGTAATATATCGTAACAATAATTTTAACCAATGTTTTTGTTAGCGCCATGTGCCAATTGTTACTCTCTTGTTAGGTGCCAATTGTTACTCTCTTGTTAAAAAGTTGTGTATTTTTTTTTGGTAAAGTTATCTTAAACTTTTGTTAAAGTTGGTCATAAGTACTGTTGGCGCTGGTATGGGTTTATTAAGCTAATTCAAAGTGTATTGTATTTTATAAGTACAAGTTTATTGAACAGATTGATTTTCGAACTTCGTGTTCATCTGCTACCAATAAAAAAGACAATACAATAAAATCATCACTTATCGGCCGTATCGTTATTTCCCACCCCCTGTGGTCGCCGAAGGACAGCATGTTGTACAAAACTTGGCGTATCATGGGTAGTCAGGTAGGCGGAGAGGAAGGGGGTCGGATAGGACCACCTGCTAGGAGGGGGTCGGGGGTCGCGAGTAGTGGGATGGGGGTGGGTTGGTCACCGCGGGGTGTAGCCGGGCAAGGGGGTGGGGAGGGGCGCAGCGCGCGGCGTAGCGCGGGGAGCGGCGCTCAGTCTCACGCCAGCCGTGAGCCGAGTCGCGTCGCGAGGGGTCAGCCCGCCCCGCCGCGCCCCACAGCCCCCAGCGCAGCACCGCGCAGCTCCGCACAGCGATACCCCGTGCTGCGGCCTCCCCCTCCCAACCCTCACCCCGCCGACACGCGCCCCTCGTTCAAATGTGACGCTGAACGGACCTCGCCTCTCCGAGAGGACGGAACCACGGTGGAGAGAGAGAAGGTGGCGACACGAGGCAACAGGCCCTACAGTTGGCCCCGACTAGGGCGTTAATCCCCCAACCTGTCGAGATTCTGGACCCACGAGCAGACCCCTCGTGCCGCCACCTTCTCTCCCTCCACCGTGGACGGAACGGACGGCAGACTGTGTGAGTCCCTGCGTGCGTGTTGCAGCTGCAAAAATGACTGCGCCGGACCTGCATGCTAGTGCAAAGCGATCAACAGTTTTTAAACGGCCTTGAACAGTATTTAGTAACCAATCTATGAACGTCCCTACGAGACAATAATGGTAATAATTAACCAGACACCTTTGTAACGCTTACAATTTTGTTCCCAAAATAAAATAAAAACATAAGACGAGTTGAGATGTTCCGACAGTGTTTTATTAAGGAGTTATTTAGTAACCGACGTTCATAAATTTGTTACAAACGTACGTCCACGTAAGTCCCTTGGCAACTTGGGCACTTATAGAGGGTGGTCCACAGGCCTTCTCCTCTATTCTGCTTACACAGTACCGCATGCCACTGAAAACTGCGTAACGCCGCATGTCGATCACTAGATAATGACGCACAGTTTTGAGCTCTGAACAAAGGTTCTCTTTCAACATGCAAGTTAACGCTCGAGTCAACGTTTTTCAGTATTTGTACTCCGAAACCTATCATATGTAGGCATGTTTGAACGGAAATTTTACGATAAATCTGAGAGCCCGCTTGGAAAATATTTCACAAAAACTGAAATACTCGCCGCACTATCATCTAGTGATCGACATGCGTCATTACGCAGTTTTCAGTTTTCGGTTTGCAGGCATGCGGGCAGGTTGCAAACTCGAACGGGGTCGTATGGCGCCACGGTGACTGGCGGTAGGCAAGCCCGCCTGCACGCCTGCATTCGGCACAGTAAGCAGAAGAAAGGAAGGGGCCGGTGGACCACCCTTCAGGTACCTTTTGTGCGCTATTGTGCGGTCTACGGTGTCTACGCCATGTAGCCCCGCAGCTGTGATGTACCGCGCACCATGTCTGCGGACGGGGTTGTCAATATTCCCGCGGCGCTCCAGGTCGCTGTCGTGGTCAGTGGGCCATGGACCTAGCATGAGCGGTCGCTAGACTTCGCAAATAAATTTTGATATCAGTAGACGATGCACTGATCCAAAAACGTCATGCGATAGTTTCGTAATGTGTCAGTTGACTCGTTCTCTCCGCAGACAGAGCGAGGTCCTCACTAGCTATCGAGGGTTAGACCCGAGTCTTACTCTGGCAACGCAAGTGTGTGAATGTCGCTCACTTGTAGGTGTGCGAATATCCATTCGTACACTGTTTGCTGTTATTCACACACCGACATAAATCTGTACTGTAGTGTGCGATGGGTTGCTGATTTGCCCTGCCCTGCGTCTGTTTTAGCGTTCGTCATTTTATGACTTTTTGACTTCTGCCTGATCGTTTAGGGAGCTGTTTGGGGAGCGATTGTTTAGTAGCGAATGACTTTGTTTGCGGTCGTGCCCACCCTGCAGTGCGGCGCCAGGCGCCAGACCATCAGTGCAGTGAGTGACGAGATAGGAATGTTTGCAACCGGATGACAAAACTAAGCAGCGTATTTTTTGTTATGAAACATTTGATCAATGATTTAA